CACACACACACACACACACAAACGCACGGCTGCCAGGCACGTTGTCTCTCTCTCTCTCTCATACACACGCACACAAACGCATGGCTGCCAGGCACGCTGTCTCTCTCTCACACACACACACACACAACGCACGGCTGCCAGGCACGTTGTCTCTCACACACACATGCACACACACGCACACACGGCTGCCAGGCACCCTGGGGGTGTTCAGCACACAGGCCTGCCCAGAAGGAGCCGACAGCCCCCATTCTGCCTCAGCGCCACGTAAGCCCTGGAGCACATCTGGGGGGAACCTCCAAGGACGGACGGGCACGTGCATTGGTAAGGTGGAGAAGAGGACAGAGTCGTGAGTAGGACAAGTCCTGCTGTGGGGCGGGCAGCAGAGAAAGGCAGCGTGTTTGGGGAGGTGATGAGCATCACATTTGGGTGGGATATAGGGAAGCAGTGAGAAGAAGAAAAGTCTCAGAAAAAAACTCGAGACTTTAACTTGAAAACGTTAGGACATCATTTCTGAGAGAGAGACTCCAGACAAATGTGATATTAGCAAAGGTTTGAAAACTGTAGCATAAAGTCAAGAATTCTGGCCCCTGCGGCTGGCGTAAACCAACATTTACAACATCCTCACACCCTGGCTCCCGCTTGAACAAGCAAAAAAGTTAAAAATCAGGGAACAACTGACACCATCCCACCAAGCTTCACGTCCCCGGAAGTCACATTCCACACCCCAAGTCAACAGGTACCCTGGCCTCCTGCGAGGGCAGCTGGGTCCTCCCTTTACCTGGCACCTGGCACCCCGGGCTCCTCCAGTGGCAGCCAGGTCCCTCTGTCACCTGGTATCCAGCACCTTGGACGCCTCCAAGGGCAGCCAGGCCCCCCTCACCTGGCACCCATTACCCTGGACTCCTCTGAGGCTGGCTGGGGGCCCCCTCACTGGGCACCCGTTACCCTGGGCTCCTCCGAGGGTGGCTGGGTCCTCCCCTCACCTGGCACCCGTTACCCTGGACTCCTCTGAGGCTGGCTGGGGCCCCCTCACCAGGCACCCGTTACCCTGGGCTCCTCCGAGGCTGGCTGGGGCCCCCTCACCGGGCACCCGTTACCCTGGGCTCCTCCGAGGGCGGCTGGGACCCCCCTCACCGGGCACCTGTTACCCTGGGCCCCTCCGAGGGCAGCCAGGCCCCCTCACCTTCTGCCGCTGCATCATGTTGAGGAGGTCTCCAAAGGGCGACTCCTCAGGGCTGTCGAAGGCCAGCAGGGCCAGTGTGCGCTCCATCTCCGTCAGGCACTCCCGGCTCTCCTCACCTTGCTCTGCCAGCTGCGTCTGGGCAAACTCCAGGGCCGCCTCCGTCTCCCGCTGCCGGATCAGTTCGATCAGATGCTGCTGCTGCTCAGAGGCAAAGACAGTGGCTGAGACGGCACAGACCCAGGGCGCCAGGCTGGCCTGGCTGCGGGCTCGGGGCTAGTCCCAAGCACGGCTCACAGGGCAGCTTGCCCGGCACCTCTGGGCGATGGCATGTGCGTTTCTAAACAAGAAACGGTTTCTGAAACACATGGCAAACAACAGCTAACTCAACGCCTTTCCCCAGCCCATCGGCACCATTCGCCCGCTCGTTCCTGACTCCTCCAGGTGACCTTCCTGGCCGAACAGGCCCGAAGCAGATGACACGCACCTGCAGGTGGAAGTAGAGGTAGCGGTTAGTGTCCAGGAGCTCGGGGTGCAGGCTGTTGATCAGCGCGATGGCTTCCTGGATCTGACCCTTCAGCAGCATCTCACGGATCCTGATGCGCTCATCAAGCGTTTCGAGATCCACGCTGGGTTCGATCCCAGACTCCATCCGGAACTTCTCTGCTGCTTCCTTAAAGCCCTCTGAAAACGGAAACACCTTCACTGCCGGGAACGTCAGTGAGAAACAAACACAAGACTTTCCAGCGGGAAGGCACCTGCCTCAACGAGATAACCACGAAGATCAAACACCTTCCTGGGATCTGGGACCAAACCTTCCTCACTAACTACTGAGACACAGAAAATGAGAGCTCATCACTCATTCCCTCCTTCCCACTTCGTCCACAGACACCCTGGTGACTCAGCCCCAGGCTGGGGACAGTGACATGGAGCTCGGTGTTTGGGTGGGACGCTCGGAAGCTGCAGAGCTGGTTCCAGGTGATTCCAGACAGACCAGACAGACAGCCAGGTGCTGTGGTGACCTGGCCTCAGTCCTTCCCTCCATCAAGGCCAGAGTGCCCCGCCCCCACAGTCAGCTAAAGACGGATGCGCCCGTCCCCTTTCAAAAAACTGTGAGATTAATCTGGGGGAGAGGACCTGGGGACTAAGGGGATAGAGAGGAATTTTCCATTAAAACTTTTTGAAAACACCTGGACTTTCTTACCAAAGATAAAAAAAAATCACCCCCCTCCCTCCCAAGTGCCAGTGAGGGCTGTCTGGGCCTCAGGACCACAGACCACTTCCTGACTCTCCTGGCCAGGAGAGGTCGACTGAAGGGGACTTGACTAGGCTTCAAAATGCTCTGAATTAGCTTGCTTTTGCAGATGTGAACACACCAACGGTCAGGAAACAGGGGTTTTCCTAGGTCTCCCACACAGCTTCTCTAACGGGGTGACCTGCAAGCTTACTGAGTTCTCCCCGTGTTCCGTTAGCCTCTCGTGTGCAGCGCAGCTGCCCCCTGGCAGGTGGGTGTGCGCCCGGGGAGAGCAGGGCCCCCGGCGGCCGGTACCTGTCACGAGGTAGTTCATGATGAGGCGGTTCATGTCCGCCCGCTGAATGTGCAGGTTGTTGAGCCTCTCCAGCCACTCATCTTTCGTGATCTCGTCGGGCTTTTCTGCATAACTCATCCTGACTTATTTCTACAGGAAGAAAGTACCATAAGGAGCTGGTGAAGAATCCTGGCGCTCACGATCCTTCAGGACTAAACAAGCCACGTCACGAACAGAAAGGGGAGACGGCCACACTGGCACCTGGAAACCAGGCCTGGGGCTCAAGCGCGGCTGGGGAGCAGGAAGAAGGCAGCTGTGCAAGGTGGGTGACCGTGAAGAGTGCCAGGGCCAGGCAGACCCAGGCCAGGCCGGAGGGGGAACCGAGACTCGGCTCCAAGGGCAAAAGGACGACCACTGGGGGTCAAGGAGTAAAATTCACAGGCTGGGATGGAGGTTCTAGTAAGACTACACCCGTATACCCATCAGACTGACAATGAAGCGCTGGCAGAGACGTGGGGTTTTCTCAAACACCTTCGGTGTCCTCAGAGAAGATGGGTGCTGTGGCCAACAGGCTGGCCTCTAGTAAAGCACGCCTCGTTGTTGCCGTGAGCCGCTGTAGAGCCAGCCTCGACTCAGGGCAAGCTTATGTACGAGAGGACAAAACGCTGCCAGTCCTAGCCGGCTTCACGGCCATGGCCACGCCCACTGCCGCAGCCACCGGGTCCCACGCGCCCCCACAGCTTCCAGCACGACGACGGACGATGCTGTGCTGCAACCCACGGCGTCTCCGCTGGCTGATCACAGAAGTTGCTCATCAAGCCTTCCTTCCCTGAGACTGGCAGCTTCCCTGAAACCCGTCTACCAGGTGACCCCCGGTATCGAAATACTGGTGGCATAGCTCCCAGCCTCACAGCAACACCCGAGGCACCGCAGTGCGACAAACTCACAGGCAGTGGCTGTGCATATCCCTTACAACCCAGCAACTGGCCCTGCTACATGTACACACCTCAGGAAACCAGACAAACGCGCACCAGGGACACATAAGAGCCTGCTCACAGAGCACCGTCCGAAGTGGCAACAGTGGGGAAGGCATTCACTGCCCACTCAACAGGTGGGAACAAATGGACTGCGGCTGCAGAACCACAGCCCACGTCCCCAAACTCTGGGTCTGGAGCTCGGAGCTCTTCACACTGGGCAACAGTCTAGCATGTGTCACCTAACAGCCTCACTGGGTCTGAGGCCGCACCCCAAAGTCAGAAACGACTTCTTCAGTGAAATGCCCAAGCAGTCACACTAAGTGGAGGAAAGGCTACCCAACAGCCTTATCTAGGTAAGCTCTGAGCCCCAAAAGGGTTAAAAACAAAAACCAAAGTGTGGTCTGCTGGGTGACCTGGACTTCAGACGTGCTGAGAAAGAAGAACCAGGCAGAGCAGCTTCCATGAGTTCCCAGTCACCCAGGTGACGCTGAGAAGCCACACAAACGAGACACAAGTTGCAGACACTAAGGGTGGTGGTAAAGCTTGGTACAAACCGCGAACCAGGCAAAGAACACGTGCCTGAGGGACACCTGTCTGGCTGAACCCCGTTCCTAACCAAGGGCATGAAACAGAACTGGGGAGTCCCTCTGGGGGAGGGACAGTGGCTCTGCTGGTGGCTCCCAGGACCCTTCACTTTCAGGCTCTGTAACTTACACGCACACCCCAGAGGTCACCACCGAGCAGACACCCAAGGACCTGCTCAAGTGTCTCACGGGCGGCTCTGGCTTTCTGGGCGACAACAGGACCGTAGGGCGCGAAGGGCTGAGCAGGGCCACCTGGCAGACAGCTAGCTGGGAGAGGAAGGACTCGTGGACCGGGGTGCTTTCCTTGGTAACTGAGCCAGCAGCTCTGGCGGCGAGTCTGCAGGCGGGCGGAAGGGCAGGCTGCGGGAAGATGCGGGTGCCGAGCTCCAGGGCCCGGTGTGCGAGTCTGCAGACAAGGGGAGGCCTGGGAGTGGAGCAGGAGAGGCGGACAGGGCAGTGCGGGGCTGTCACTGGACGGCAGGCGAGCAGCCCCGGCTGTGACCGCGGCCTTGTTGCCTGTGAACGGGCGGGGCCCTGGGCGCTCGGTGGCCGTGCCGCCGCCCAGGCACAAGCCAGCAGCCAGGAGGTGAACCCCAGAGACGCTATCGCCACGCGCCCCCTGTCGCCGGCAGCCACGGGTCCAGGAGGAACCGTGCACGAGAAGACGCCGGCTGCAGGCAACCTGAGGACCCACACAGAAGGGCCCGTCTCGGTGTCCGCCGGAAGCCAGCGGCGGGCCGGCCGCGGCCAGGACCCGGACGCTCGGACAGGTCCTTTCGCACACAAGCCAGCTGCACACCCACACCTGCCGGGCCGCGCCCGCCAGCGCAGCGGCTGCTTCCGGAAAGCAGGCTGCTACAGCAGCCGCCCGCCCGGCAGGAGGTTCGCACACCGCGGCGCCTGCAGGGGCGGCCGCCCCAGTTCCTCTGGGGAGGGAACGTGCGCCAGCTCCAAGGCGCAGCCACGGCTCGGCGTCGTCCTCGGGCAGGAAAAGAAAAGAGCCAAAGCAAAGCCAACTGGGCACCATGTCCACCCCAAGGACCCTGTGAGCACTGCCTCCAGCATCACAGGACGTCGGTGGACAACGCGCCCCACGTGGGACGCCCCTAGGGGCTGCTTCCCACCAGGCTCCTGCCCGCCCGCCCACCCCGCGCTCCGGGCGACGCTCGGCCGGCCGCCTGGGCCGCCGCGGCCATCTTACCGTGGGATCCGCCTCCCGCGCTGCGCGCTGTCGGCGGCGGCGGAAGCTCCGCGGCCGCTCCAAGGAGAGCTGGGGTCTGCCTGGGGAGGGGGCGGCGGCGGCGGCGCCAGACGACCGGGAGGCGGCGGCCGCAGCGGGGCGGGGGCGGGGAGTAGGAGGTGACACATCCACGGCCGCCCCCCAGCCTCCTCTCGCGAGATCACGATCTGGTAACCAATGGCGCGTTCCCGTGAGGGGGCGGAGCGCGACGGCCGCCCGGAAGCGCAAACTCAACTTCCGTCCTTGCGCAGAACTCCCTTCGCGGGGCGCCCTCGTTCTACGGGTTGGCGCGAGAGTCAAAAGGCATCTGCAGCTTCTGGGCAAAATGGCCGCCGCCGGGGCGTTGTGGAGCGGAAACTTCGCGCCGGGATGGCGACGTCTAGACTGAGTCGGAAGCGAAGATCCGGGCGTCCTTTCCCGTCGTTTGTGTGAGGCTGGGGAAAAGGGGTGGGGTGGGGGAAAAGAGTCCAGGTGCTCTTCCGTAAACGGAATCGCCTCCCGACGGCCTGATTCCCGGGCGCTTGTCCTCCCCAGGCGCGAGGGCGGAGCCGTTAGGCGGGCTGTAGGTTCTCCCGAAGGGTGTTGAGGGGAATTTCTTGAACGTATTCCACGAGTATCGTTGAGCGCGTGTTCTCTCGAGGCCAGATGGGTGCACAGAGTCGGACCGTCCTTCCTGCAGGGCACCTCCCGTGCAGCGCCTGTCACGTTGTCCTACAAACGGTCGTTTGGGCCTCCTGCGCCAAGGGGAAAGCCGGCCCGAGTATGTGACCACCGTGCGACGGCGGCGTGGCCACTGTCCCCGGCGGCCGCACCGCCCACCGGTCGGGGTCCGGCTCGTCCTGCCCGGGGGCACACGGATGGGGACGGTGGCCGCAGATGGGCGCCGGCCGAGGTCATGGCGGGTTTACGGGCCGATCTGTGGGTGTCCGCACCGCACGAAGCGGGGAGGGGCCGCCCTCACCCCATCCAGAGACTCTCCGGAGCGGTTTGGCGATTAGAGGGCAGGAGTGACAAGTGTCTGGGCGCGCTGGCCCACCTGGCGCGGTGTGGACCCGCCATTGATGTCGGCTCGGACAGAAAGTGGGTACGGTGAGGCAGACGGGCTGCGCCACGACAACCGCGCAGGGCCGATTGCACCGAGGGCACGAGCGGCATCTGCAGGTCGAAGTTGCCCCACAGCGCGTTGAAAGCGCGTCGGCAACGTACGTCAGCAATCGCGCCCCTTGTAACTTTCCCACCGAGCCCACTGCCGTGGGCGGCGTCCCACCCGTAGTGAGCCCCAGAGGGCGTCCAAGGCCACGAGTCTTGGCGGAAGCCGACCGCCTTGTCTGCCTTATGCAGAGCGTCGGGTGGGATCACACCACCAACCTTTTGGGTAGCTGCCAAATGTCTTGAGCGCTGCCACTGTTTAGACCAGCGATGAGTAACTAGATATCAGTTTAAAAACGTACCACCAAAAAAAACCACACTCACTGCCGTCGAATTGGATCCGACTTAGCCACCCCTCCTTGAGTTTCCGAGCCGGTGTCTCTACAGAAGTAGGTTACCCAACCTTCCTTCTGAGCAGTGGCTGGTGGGTTTGAACCGCTAGACTTCTGGTTAGAACTCAAGTGTTTTAGGTACTACGCCACCAGAGCTCCTAAAAAGGTACAAAGGGCTAGGGTTTTAAAATCCTTTTCAAGGTCACTGCCCCACAGGGTTTCCAAGGCTGTCACTCTTTACGGAAATAGACTGCCTGTTCTTTCTCCCGCAGACCAGCTGGTGGGTTTCAACTGTGGACCTGTTGGTTAGCAGCCCAATGCTTTAAGCCTTGCACCACCAGAGCGTCATCAGTGTCCTTCAGAGCTAGAACATTCCAGTTCAAAGAGGCTTCTGCTGAACTCAGCTCTGCCTTTCCTGGGGCTGATAGGTTACCAGTCCCCCCTCCAGCAGCCAGTTACCGAGTCCTACTGATCCCATCTCCTGCCTCGGAGAAGCTAGGGCTTTGGGTTGTGTCACCAGCCTTTGTCCTTATTGAGGACAAGGTACTGTGATGCAGTGGATTACGTGGCTTCTTTGCAGTTGGTGTCAGAAGCGTGAGGTTTGTTGCAATGGGTCTAGAGTCATGGAAGCATGGGACTTGGCTAAGAGAAAGAAGGAAGGGGCCTGGGAAGTGAAAAATCTTGACTCTTACATGGTTACTGTGGTGTTTTTTTTTAACCTGTAGTTGTAATGGTGGATGAATATGACAGACTTTGCTGCAGTGGAGAGGAGAAAGGTCTGAGGCAGCGGCCAGGCAGGTGAACAAAGCTGGTTAATTAGAGGCTAGGGCTTTTAGTTTCACCCAGCCAGCCAAGG